GAAATGTGAAGCTTTCAGGCCGTATCGTGCTGAGTTCTACAGTATGTGTCGTCAGTATACAAAACCTCGTACAAAACACAGGGAAAATGGGAATGTCTAGTGTTAAAGGAAAATAATGGTAGACATTTTTGTACGAATCTAAAAATAAAATTGAATGAGTTTCTTCCCACAGCTGGCTCTATGATTCATCTCTGTCTGATTCACCGTCTGCCACTGTCCGTGTCCCTGATCACGTGCAGGGCCACCGGAAACACACGCCAGAACGCTAAATTGATGTTGGCTTTTTTCCCCCGAATCTATTTCTCCACTGGAAAGCGGAAATAAACATGTTTACTAGTGCTATACCAGCAGTGAGATAATCCTCCTGATGCTGAGAAATGTACACGGAAAACGTCAAGTGCAATCATTGAGTCCGAGTTACCACTTTGATTATGTTTTCTTCAGATGAATTTGATTATTTTCGGGTGAACAGAACCGAAAATATTACATGTATCGTGACATATGCCTTTGTTTCTTTTAATTTTTCATGATTATAGCTTACAGTTCATTCAAAAAACTAAAGCTGAAGGTCTGGCCCATTCCGATGGTTGCACAGAGAATGATACCAGTTAAAAGTCGAAAAAGTGCTTGGCCTAAGATCTTCAATCAGGTAATTTCAGCACATTTTGACTGTCCTAAAACAAGATTAGCCAATGCGAAAACTGGTTTAGTCTTTGTTCAAGAACTGTTGCTTTAGTTTCTCATTCCAAGGGAGACATTTCTTGTATCTTAGAAAGTTTTGCCTTTCCCAAAATCATTCTTTTGGCCAAATTTTAGAATTTACTTTATGTACTTTATTTTTTATATTTGACTTGTAATATGATCTATAATAATTGTAATCTAATATTTTTTATTATTATTATTGTTAATAATCCATATAACTATAGTTCCAAGCTTTCAAAACTGTCTGGTTCTATCACATGCATTTGTTTTTGGTATAAGTCACATCTTTAGATCAGCTTTATCAGTGATGAGGAGAGTACCAGTCCTCTCGAAAATGTGTTTTTAATACTATGAAGAAAGCATGTGGTGGTCTGATTTATTCACAAAAAATTACTTGATGTACACAGGCACTTGCACATCACTTATTGCCTTATAAATCTTATTTAGGTTGTTGTGCACACTGCAGATTTAAGCCAGTTTTTCCCACGTCTTCCATTTGTTAAACTGTTGATTATAAGAATTACTGCTCTATGTTAAACTCTTAGCTGTGATTATGACAAATAAGAAAGCAACTGTATATTTACTGTCACTTTACCACGGGGATTCTGAGAAAGCACATTCTATAATAGCTCTAAAGCAGTCTAAAGCGGTCCAGTCCAGACCTTTTTACAGCATAATAAGTCCACGGTTCACACAGCGGGAAGAGGCCACATAAAATTGGCCCTATATGCGGCTAAAAGGTGCCACCCACACCAGCCACAGCATCCTAAGTGCTTCATGTCAGTGTGACGCTATCGTAAATGTCAGCGGGGCAGCTTCACCGGGATACGGGGAGGTTTAATGTCAAATGCGCACTTCAAAGAGCGCTGTCCGGAAGTCAGAGCAGCTAAAGACAAGCCTAATGAAGCTAAAGTCCAGGGGTAACTGTAACCTGCTGGTGTGAGTAGCTAGTCAATAAGGAGGTCATGTTGTTGTGAGAGCTCGCCACCGCGTATTAGTCACGGTTTATCGATACGCCAACACGGCAAGTCCAGTCTCAACCTCCTATGTGTTGGTTTTCTGTGGGGTTGTATGTAAGGGGTGTAGAGAACAATGGTGGATACTTCAGTTTTGCTTATACAGGTACTTTAACCCTTTAATTGTTTCCTCATGCATTAGATAGATCACCTTTTGAGTCACTATATCGACTTGAAGCATGAGTGGAAGTTAAATAAATCTCTTTGGGGAATCTGTTCTTAAGCAATATCAAACCGTATCTTAACCATTTGTTAAAGGGTAATAGTAAAAAAAAATAGGAATAAAAAAAAAACATAAATACGAACTATGTGTGTTATTAGTGTCCTACATCTTAGAAAATCCCAAAAAGAAAAAACAAAGTATTGGTTTATTTAAGGAGGGATTGGTATGGGGTTAAAGAGGTTGCATTGATTCATATTGGAGCCGAGTTGAATTCTGCTTGGTCAGGTCCTCTTTTAGTTAATGGTAAAGTTGAGATTTAGTCTGGGGAATGATAATTAATACATGTTGTTTGCCCCAACAGAAAGGGTCTGGTAAAAAGTCAAATGTTCTGACCACCCCATTATATCTTCATCTTATAAAACACATTTTTATCCTTTGCATACTTGTGAGAAAGAGCCCTGTGAGTTGCTATTTCATGTTTTGGGCAACGAGCTGATTGGCTGAGTGAGGGTGGTCCTCCCTTGTTCATCTGTCTGAAAAAAGTAGTTAAAGATGTGACAGCAGCCAAAGATACAGGTGCATGCATTTGGAAACTGTTTTGAGTATAAGGAACTATGGTAGGTTTTTTAGGCTTGAAAGTTAGAGACCCCAGCTTTAAGTCCCAGTTTTGTTTCAACGTGGATACCATGAACATATACTTGCACATTGTGAATAGTAAAATATTGTGGTTTTAGATACTTGAACTGACAGAACAGATGACTCATTTTGATATATAATGTTTGTTTTTCGATGGTTCTGCTAAGTTTGATTGTGATAGATTGGCTATTTGATGTCCAGGCAGTCAAGTCCACACACTCTTACAAAACTTGACCAGCGCAGTGGCACCTCAATATCAGATTGAAAACTTGGTAGGCTAAGAAATTCAATAGAAAACACATATATTAGCAAAGATAAAGAAGTGGTACTTGAGAGATCGGTGTTCCTTGCATTTGGGAGACAGAAATAAGCAAGAGTGAGTGTAACTTGTAAATTCTCTGATAACAAAGGGGTAAAATATGTACTTTTTTACAAGAACAGGTTTCTATGTTGACATTTTCTTGTTTTGAAGTTGAATTCCGGGATCACTTTTGCTTTCCAGAGATGACATCAGAAATGGCTTCCCCCCCAGTCAGCAGTTCCCATGACTCAAACCGGGTCCACTTTCTTGTCCGCCTGCCGCTGAATCAGAAATGTAACCCAAACCAGTGAAGCATTGGTATAAAATAGCAAGAATACTACCAAAGTGTTCCCCAGGGAGACGGATGCTATACTGTAGACACCGAGAGTATGCAATCAAGACTTCGCCCCCAAACACTATGACTCAGCAGTGGCACCAATGCTTTTAATGCCGAGAAAAATGTTTCGAGTAAATAACTAAAGGAAGTAGAAAGTAGAAGGGTGACTCACGACTTGCCTGCTGGGTCTACCGCGTGGCAGTGTGGGGGTTTGATGAAGCAGAGTGCAGTGTCAAAGAAAGAAAAGAGAAAAGGCCACATCGCGTTATTTGGATGAAACGGTGAAATGCTGAGATAATGGGACTTTTATGCTGTTTATCTTTGGATGGTTCATGTGTGTTTAAAACCCAAATGGACTGCTTCAAAGGGGAAGAGTTTTCAGGGGGGTTGGCGTGTAATCGTCTGGATGTATGACTATACTTATGGAAATTATTCCTTTGTATGAATCAATGCTGAAACTAGTGTTAAAGCGAGATCCCAAAGTGAGTCAATCCTGAAAAAAGCTACATTTAGTTTGCATTCAGTTATGTATCAGACTAGACATGCAGCGATCCAGCCTGGGAATGTCTTGCTTTCAATAGAGAATCTCCTGCCCTCAAATCACAAAATGGGTTATTATTTCAGTAAGTAATTTCAGAACATTATGACTAAAGGTTTAAACTTGGAGATGTTATGGGTTAATAAGCAGCCAGGAGGACTAGCTAGTGTTCAGGTCTAGGTAAAGTTGATCCTGAATACGCTAAGTCCTGTATCGAAATGGACAATGCTAACCCCCTAACTCAATGAAGCCCATTTGGGAAGTGCTCATGGGAGTGTTTCTTCTACTCGCTCTGGCTCTTGACATACATAGAAAAGTAAACTCCTCGAACTCAGTACCCGCCTGTGTCGCCCTCATCGCTCTGAGCGGAAAAAATCCTTGGTTTAGCTCTCTCTCTATGATCATGGTGTTTATATTTTTGATATTGACTTTGTAAATCCAGATATGAGCCAAAAGGATCAGATGCCAAAATCGTCTTCTTCTACCATTGACGTCAGCACTAGATCAGTCCACTCCTACTGTAGGTCTATGAACTCAACTAAAAAAGATACCAGCTTGTGAAGCGTTTTACTACATCAGTTGAAAGACCCGATCAGGATCACCTTTGCCGATATAATTAATGACAAAATGTTCTTTCTTGGATCGCACCAGTTTTTCAGCAGTGATATCAGAGCATCTATGATTATGACACCACAAAACCTGTATCTACCAAAGTCCATTTCACTGTCATGTAAGCAATGAGCCTTTAACTAAGCAAAACACGTGTGGAATACTGTATAATACTAATCCTAAGGAGGTCAAATGTGATGGTTTTACCTATACATTAAGTGCTATCTCCCAAAATATAAGTCTTTTTTTCAGCCAGTGTATCTGTGTGACAAGATGGAGAGTGTATTGAAGCAATGTGATTAAAAAACAATCTTTGAAGTAGCATAGAAAGGACTGGACTGCAGATCTTTGTCCAACAGGCAAAAAATGGTTTTAGATGAAGAAGACACAACATTACAATTAATAAACACAACTGAAGTGAGTACTTTCTGTCCTTCTACAGTGGCGGTGGTGCAGATGGACGGTATTGCCAGGGAAGTCTAGGCACTGGGTTTTTCCATCGTCCTACCACAGGTAAAATGAGTCTCAGTCCATGGTCCGGTGTTGGGGTGGGCGGGGGGCCGAACACAACTCCACAAGTCTTTTCTCGGAACAAAAACACTACTTGAGTCTGTTTTACATTCATTGCGTGCCCCCCTGGTTTTGTTTTTTGGATTCGCGATTGAGTTTCTCTTCCTGTGTGACGTCCATCCCACTCCTCAGACTCCGGGGGGAGGGGATTCGGGCTGTGGGCCGCCGTCGACTCGCACGACTGCAAAAGAAAAACAGAAATGTGTCAGTAAATGAGAGAATTATGCAAGTGTTCGAAAAACACAGGGGGATTTCTACTCATTAACAGACTTTTTTTTAAACCTGTGTTTAAAGCAGCATGGTGTAGGCAGTGCTAAGCAGATCCACTCAAGTAAATTGTTGTTTGATTAGAGCAATTATAACTCAACGCTTTCGGCAAATGAGCTTTGTATACAGCTATTTTTGTGATGCTTATGAGGATGTTTGGTTGCAAATGATAAGTTTCCGAAGATCTAAATCCGGAGATCCAAATAACGGATAAATAAGGGTATGTTGTCACTGGTGTTGCTTGAAAGCGGCAACTTTCTGAGTTTGTTTTTTTTTGGGTCTATAACTACAATCTTGGTATGTCATTCCAGGCAGAGAGAAATATATCTATCTATATCTATATTTTTAGTGACTTTTTTTCATTTAGAGACAACATCAGGTTAAGGTTATCAGGTTAGAACAGGGGTAGGAATAATTCATTTAACTAAGGTTAGGGGTAAGGAACACTAAGATTTTTGAGAGTCCCTGTAGTAGACCCCATCCGAACAGTTTGGCTGTGAACCATCCAAGGCACCTTCCCTAGTATTCTATAAAGTATACTTTAAATATACCAAATAGTCAAATTTGAATTAAAAAGAAAGAATAAATAAAATGCAATGTATTCCTGAAACAGCAGCCTAATTTGACGTTTATAAAAAAACTTCAGCGGAGATGACGAAAACAGATTTGAAAATAATTGCTTTTCACGATGCTCCCCTTTGTGTCAGCTTTGCCGGTCCCGGTCCGAGTCCCTGTTCTGTCAGTGAAAAGTCCTGAGCTCTGTCATTATAGGCTAATGAGGACGAGGGATAAACGACCCCTTTCCCACCACCCTCTTAACCTGCAGAGTACCAGGCCGCCATGGCAACGCTGGGAGAATGTGGAGGCGTTTCTGAGAAGGGTCTGTGAGCATTTTAGGATTTAGAATACAACAATTAGAGTTCGGGGAATGGTTAAATAATTGATTCGCCATGAATTTCACAACATTCATACACAACTTTCTACTAGGAATAATGAGAAGTAAATAGAGAATTCTGTCTTTCAATGTGATTTATTGAGAATTGTATCATTTTTGCTTGCACTATGGCACTAGTCCTCCAAACAACCTGATCGTTCCCATTTTCCTGTTATAGAAAATTCACAAGTCTAGTTCTGTATTTTTAGGCTTGGAATAAATGGTGATAACTTGTATGTATGTATTTGTTTATAAAAAACATTGGAGGTTTAAACTGAGAAAATGGTGCAAATTCCTAATGCAATAAAGCAAAAGGAGAGTTGCAATATGCATTTCAGAATCAGAATTATTTGTTTTATAACTAACAGGAAGTAACAGGAAGTCACAAACTAGGAATTTGCTTTGGCTCAAGGCACACTCAAGTTCTGAGAGTAAAAAGGCATGCATAAAAATATCTCCATGACATTTCTTAAAATGTATCTGAACCAGAGACCATGGCTCTCCAAAACGTTGGACCTGGAAGAATATATGCCCTGTACTTTGTCAGATTTCAAGACTAAAACCAGTTTGCAGTACACATCACAGGAGGGTGCACAAGACCCAATGCTGTAGGGTAGAGGGGTGGGAGATGATACAAATCTAAAGTTTGTCTGCGGTATTTCAATTATTGGGTCAAAAACATGACTCAAATGCCAAGATATAACTCCATATAATACCTTATATTTTTACTGTTTATATTTTCTTCATGCCATACCTTAATATTTAATTTTTCCTCAATTTATACCAGCCTCAGATCCAGCTATATTATATTTTCACCCTCTGGAGCAATGCCTTAGATGTAGCTTTCTCCTTGACGTGATTAGCACCTGACCACCTGTCTCTTTTATAGAATGGGGGACATTATAAATACATGCCATGAATTCCACAGTCTGAACCATTTTTGACTCTTTTCCCATCATCCCCTCTAAGTCGTTTGGACCTGGCACCTCTGCTTTTGTTCAGCCTTTGCAGATGGCCTGAGTCCACATCCCCTCATCCTTCCTGTTTATGCAGACACTCCACAGGCAGCAGCAGTGACACAGAGCAGAGACCCACTGATTCTAACCAGCTCCAGATTCAGCTTCTCCAAATCCAACACCTGCCACCATATATGCACTGGGGCGGCAGGATTCCACGCCACACAACAGAAGTCGCCATTTGACAAGCGCAATCCTTGGAAATCGCAAAAACGGCTATGTTTTAAGACCCTTGCACACAGTTAAAGCTGGGGCATGTAAGTTTCAAACCTCAACATTTGAATGGTGCCATCAAGTAGTTCCATTGATCTGATCTAAAACAGTTTGATTGTATCGCTAGTTTTGACATTTGCCTATGTCATACCATTTTCAGACAGAAAAGAGAAAAAAGGCAGGACCATCATCATTCCACCAATCAGCTGTCAGCCCAAACAGTCAAATAGTGACTCACAGGGCTCTTTCTGATGACTACTGTAGACAAACATAATACTTTCTAATGAGATGAAGACAGCATGTTATAGTCTTATTTCTTCAGACCAACTTTCTCAAAACTGGAAAAATAGAAGTTTAATTTATGAATGAAAAAGTACTTCAGTGGATAGCTGCACATCACGGTTTATCAGTGGAAAAAAACAGGATTTGCCTTATTTCATGTGCAGTAGCAAAAATCTTGTACTCAACACTCAATATGTCCAAAAGAAACCGTTTTTTTACTCAATTTGAAATTTGACTTTTTTACCACTCAGCGCTCCCTCCATTATAATATTGTGAAACTTCTCCAGATTAGTTTTTTATATTGACTTTAACAATGGTAGTCTAGCCGTTCATATAGTCAAAAATATGATCTATGAGTACTTTACACTCTGTCTCGTCTGAACAAACAAAATCACCAAGATTGTATTGTTGAAAAAGATAATAATGATAATTGCTATCTTGCCAAAGTCATGCCTGCTTTGTCATACACTCACGGAAAACTCCTCTGGCTTTTCAAACTCTTCCCGCACCTCATTCCGGAGTCCGCTGATAATATTAGCCACATGGTCTCGTACCTAATGCCTTATCGAATGTAACGTCATTGTAGGAATCGATGCGGAGCCGGCCGTCTCTGAACGAGGTCTCCGCTGAAACGTGAACTCAGATTGTCAGTGTTGATTTCTTTCTGTCTAATCAGAGCTGTTGTTCGGTCTTGATTGGACCTTCAGCTACGCTAAAGTTAAAATAGTTGATTGCGGTTGAACTTGAGATGGTTTTGTCATAATCACAAAGAGTCCTTGAGGAAATCCACTTACAATACGTCTGGCTTTAGAGCTCTCTACGGACCAGTACGTACATACTAACTGCATTAACGACTTCTGCAATCACAGCCACTAAGAATGAGCGCTGATGTTGTATTTAGGCTGATCTATTGGATGCACACTTACACATTATTAAGATAAGATAAGATCAGATTAACTTTATTGACCTCACTATGCAGAAAATAAAATCGTATTGTACTATTCCTCCTTCTACAACTTTGTATAAATTGTATAAATTGAGGGAAATCATATAGGTATAAGAAATTTTATCTGTAGTTTTGTGTGTATTGAGTTTGGTACTTATAAAACGTGCATACTTGCAACAAAGAGCCCTGTGAGTCACTATTTGACTCTTTGGGTTGGTCCCCTCTTTTTCACTGTCTAAAAAGCTGATTTAAGATGTGAAATAGGCCAAAAATAAATGCAAGTAAAAGCCTGTCTCAGATTTTAGATGCATGAATTTATTTTGAATTAATTTATTATTTATTATTCAACATCTAACTAACTACTAATTGTCATTTTTAGGGTTAGGATACACTAATTATCACTTAAATAACTGTTAATTAGTGAGGGCTAATCTAAAATGTCACCTATTTAACAATTTACTATGTCAAGATATGTCAGAAACTTGCACTAATCAAAACTCTACGGAGACTCCCTGTGTCCTCCGGGTGCTCCGGTTTCCCCTACCACTAAAAACATGTACAATAGGTCTGAATGTAATGAGTGAGTGAATGGATGAGTGTGTTCAGCATCTCGCTTCCATCATCACTGTGTGGAGAGAATAGAATAATATCTGAAATCTGAACATTGTAAAGCGCTTTGGGGGACATTGGTCTGTAAAAATGTGAAATATAAAAAAAGATTTCTTATCTACTCATCTGGATTAAATTAAGTCTATTAGCTATCATCAAAACTTCTTAAAGACTTGTCCAGCTTTAGACATCTTTCTAAGAAGCTTTGAAAAATATGTCTCGTATTATCTGTATTTGAAGGTCTGTGGAGTCAGACCTCAGGAGCCAGTACCTCTGAGTAACTTTACACAGAGATATAATGTACATGAGTCATATGCTGAGCTCCAGTTTCGGTCGATGGCTGCATCACTGCTGTCATCTGCCCACATGACGAGGGCGGACGCGCTGCCATCTTCAAACTTCACTAAGAGCTCTTCTATGGTTGTACAGTGTCAGGCGTGTGGCGTTTTCTTTTCATCACATACGAGCCCATAACCAATGGCTGTCTAAATCTGGCTATATGTGTAGTGGCACTTTCTAATCCACAGTGTGCTGCTAATGCTGTAGGGGTAGGGCTTTAGTCCTAAATCACAACAGCAGTTGTCTCGGAGGACTTTACAAAATTGTTGATTCCTCTCCAATGAATTTGAGTTAATTCATACAAGATTAGGAAATGACGAAAATACAGCTAATGAGGGGACGTCAAGGTGCCAATCGGTGGCGTTTTCACTCTACTTGTTTGATTAGGAGAAATTTAATGTTACGAAATCACTTGCCGTTCTTGAAATGAGGAAAGTAGTTTCTAACTCAGTAAAATTGTACTCCTCTTTAAGCTGATTGTATGCTTAGACACTAAAAATATGCAAAAAATAATTTGCCGTATTCAAGTTATTATTAATTAATTAATTATTATTTTGTATGGTCTCTGAAAAAAC